GCCCGGGCGGCCGATGGTGGTGGCGGAAACTCCTCCCTTCCCCGCGTCAGTTGGTCTCGCGGAACCTCCTGGCGCGTTGAGGCGTCACCAAGACCTGCGCCAGGGCGGCGCTCGGCTGACTCCCGGCGGTGGCTTCGGCGGCGGCCTGGGTCTCGCTTCGGTCCTCGTGGAGAACTCTGGACCTAGGACGGTGGCCCCGTTAGGCGTGGCAGCAGTGCTCGTGGGTGGTAGATGGACGGCTGCTTGACCGCGTGGGTGGTGTGTCGCTGGTGGATCTCCTTCCCGTTGCAGCCTCTCTCCCGCTGCATTTGATGGCTTTTGCAGTCTCGGTCGTCTGCCTCGGTGCGTTGGCGTGGGCTTATAGAGGTGGCTTCTGATCGGAGGAAACTCTAGCTGGCTCATTCATCTGGACGGTGGCGACAGCCAAGGTCACCGCTCTCCTCCTTGCAGGTACCGTCGAGGTCCCTCCCGTCCACCCCGAACCCATGCTCGGGTGAAGACCCAAAATCTCCTCAGATTGGGGGGCGGCGGCGGCACTACGTGTGTCGTGCCCTTCTTGGAGGCGTCGCATGGCCTGTGTTTGGGTGCCTTGTTAGAGGAACTGCGCGTGGGGCAGATGGGACCAGTGGCAGCAGGTGGTGTTCGCGAAGATGGAGCGGCGTGGCATCTGGCACGTCGACAACAGCGGGTCTCGGCGGCAAGGGGCAGCGGGGTGTCGGCAGTGGACGCATGTTGATGGATGAATGCAGCTGGATGGTGGCGTTTTCTGGCGTCATGGTGGCATCGACACTAGTTGGGGCTGACAAGGCTTATGTATTGATCTCTCCTGAAGATGGGACGGCGGAAGATGGTGGCGACGGATTTTAAAGCGTGCACATGCGGTGCGATGGACCGTTTGTGCCCCAGACCCGGCGGTGCGGCTTGGTTGTGGCCCCTGGTTCTAGATGCTGGGCTTGGTGTGAGGTCAAGGCAGGCGGTCCCGACCATGTGCATCCCCCTTCATTAAGTTGATAGGAGTAGCGACAAATATTGCTAGCAAGGTGGCTTCAGACTTATTGATGTATCATTTTATAAGTTTTTGATGAATAATTAATAAAATGATTGTATGCATCGCCCAGATGCAGAGGCCGGGGGTCATCCTTCTTTTAAGAAAACAAAAAGATGGTAAGATGTCATATACTCCAACAAGAATAGGCAGTAAGTAGAGTTTTGTTTCATCAACCAGAGTCAAAAGAGACATCACCGACTAGCTTAATTAGTTACCTGATCAGACGACGACGCCCCTTGAGCTGGTTGATCACAAATAGCCCTCAGCGTCAGCTCGTGCACCTCTTCGCCGGCCTGCTTGGCCTTCTCAAAGAGCTTGTGGTACTTGACGGAGACGGAATCTTTGTCGTGATCGCGGGGGTCGTATTGGCTCACTAAGGTGGTGTACAGTGTAAAGTAGTCGCCGCCGCTGTCTGATGACGATGTCACTGGTGGCTGCTTGGGCATTGTGAGACTGAGAGTGTAGATGCACCTTGGAGGTACAATGCCGCAGAGCGGCTTCCTTGTCAAGTACTTCTTCGGAGTCTTGGCCACAAGCATGAATGCGACGCGGTCGTTTTCCTTGTTGTTTAGTTGCAGCGAGCAGGAGATCATGGCCTTCTTTCTTGGTAGTACTTCCAACGACGACATGAATGGGAAGCAGAGCTCCCGGGGTTGGACGTGAAGCAGCTCCGTGTGTTCTGAATCAAGCAGCTCCAAGTCTGGCCCATTTTCTGATTGCGGGATGAAGCTGGTTTCTGTTTCTCATAACACAATACAATAAGTAGTTTTAATAAGAATCCAATAACCTGATTTTATGTCACATAATTCGCATATTAGTGAAGTAGTTCTTGGTTATATTGGTAGTATCATCTTAAGCAATCAAAATACGCTGCGTTATATTTTGAAACAGATGAATTAGCAGCTAGCTAACGCAAGCACTAACCTGAAGAAGGTGTGGTGATATTGTTGATATCTGAAGAAAGAGTGGATGAATCTCCATCATCTTCATAGAACTATAAATCGATGAAAAGGATAATAATTAGTGAATGTGTATGTGATTTCACGTTCTCGTTATCACGTTATGTATATTAGAAGTGGAATATAACTATAACCTTTGCTAGAAAGCCATATCTAAAATTTAAATGTAACCATCACGGAATCTTTATTTACCACAAAATATTGTATCAAGATAAAATGCATGGCATCAAACGTAGTAAATCATAAAGTATAATCTAGCGATGAAGAAGAATCAATTAGTAGGGTTCGAAATGAAATTATACAACAAATGCGCAATGAAATGGTATTTGATTCCAGGGATTGACTCAATGAACTCCATGTGCGAGATTTATGAATGGTTTGGATCGGTATTATGCAATCATTTTGTATCTCTTATATTGCTAGAGAAAACTAGGAAATGCTAAGTGGGTGGTATACATATCTTAGGCCGACCAACAAGGAGTCCTTATGACGTGCTAATGGTTTGGCCTCAAATAGGTTATATGGGTTAGTTGAGATACGGGTGCAGAATCATAACTCTAATGTACACTACTTCGGGCACAAGGCCAGGCCGCCGCCCCACGCTTCACCACCTTCTTCATTATCCGCACCAAGTATAATAGTAACAACATGTATACATCGACATATACGCAATGATAAAATATACTTCCTACGTTCCAAAATATAGTGCTTCCTTCATTCGCGTGCTTCAACTTTGACCATAAATTTAACCAACGAGACCGAGTGCGACGGGAGCAAAAGTTATACCAGTGAATTCGTATTCAAATGAAGTTTTCAATTATTATTTTTTTCTCCCGCCGCAGTCGGTCTTATTGGTTAAATTTATGGTCAAAATTAGACCTCGAGAAGCGCGAGCGAACTATATTTTAAAATGGAGGGAGTAACATTTATTAGAAAATGAATTGTAATCCTTATTATAATTTTCTAACAAATTTAGGAAATTTCCTAATATATAGTTTGTGTCCCTGGGTAACCTACCATTGTGTCCGTCTCTTTCAAACAAGCAACAATATGTTTTATAGTAGGCCTTTCTTGTCGGTTTGACTTCAAGCAATCTAGTGCTATCTCAATGCATCTTTTCACCTGATTGCAATATGCTTCAAGTTTGTGACTCGGTATCGTTGCACTTAGCCTATCTTTCCAACTTTCATGTACCTCCAATATTGGAATTAATGTTAGAATGATTACACAAAGGTCAAACATAACACAATTAATATCGATACTGGGATAAAAAAGACACATAGGAAGAAGTTATTCTTACAAGCTTGATAGATTTCCGGGCTGTCATCTCGACAATAGAATTGTAGTTCTGTCCGACCATTATTTTTACAATGATTACACCCAAACTAAATATGTCAAACTCTTTTGATATAATTTGATGCTTTATGTATTCTGGTGGCCAATATCCCCTGCGTGCCACGAATGGTAGAAATTGGTACTTAGCAAACAAAGTAGTGATACATAAAATACAATAGTATATATATGGCAAAACATGTATAATTTAGGTAGCAGAAGTATATTAGTGCTTATTACAAATTGTTGATTACTTGACTAAAATCCTACGACACGATGCATAACTGACACCGGTAGACAGTATGTGCTACCGAACTTTAGAGGGAGATTGGGCTGATCGATGGGCCTTACATTTTCTAAATTTAATATTTTTTCCGGAAATATGCGTCCAGGCTGATAGACTTTGGATCGGATAGGCTTAGGGATCCTGGTGGTCCTACCTTCACCTTGTGGCTCGAGGAGCTCCCGGTGCCGGCCATGGCGATGATGGCATGTTGTGATGGCAGAGAGTAGTGGGCGAAGTGGTGGCGGCGCTTCCCGTCAGCACTGCACTAACCCTAGATCGGTAGGGGATTAGGTGGGGTGTACGGCGCTGGACGAACCTTGTCATGCGAGCCGCCGGCCCCAACCTCTTTATATAGTGCAGGTGACAGGGGCCCGTCACCCATAGTGGGTTGAGCACCCCCGATCAGGGCGCGGATCTAAGGGCCCGGTGGGCCGTTGGGCCCACACGATGGAGATCATCCTAACACAGGCAACTTAAAAAGGCTGATGGATGGGTCAAACGATGTTGAAGCCCAAGGTGTGAAAGTGGATGAATATGGAAATATGGCAGAATCATGTTCAAAACCATAATAATAGTATATGTTGTGAACGATTCATCTTTTATCTTAATATTTGTCACTTTTTCAGAATAAAAAGGATCAAAAGACATCAACACTCATGTCAAATTTATACAATGAGGAAAAATACATGTCAGTTGTACTTACATTGTACCTATGACACTCATTGTCTTTTTTGTGTTCTCTTCACCGAAGAGCTTTGATATTCCAAAATCTGCGATTTTCGCTTCCATATTCTTATTTAGCAATATATTCTCAGGTTTCAAGTCGAGATGCATTATTGGATTCTCTATTTCCAAGCGAAGATATGCTAGACCCTCACAAACACCTCTGATTATTTTGTAGCGCTCAGGCCAGCCAAGTCCTGTGTATTGATCTGCAATACAGAAAAGAAAAGGAGTATGATATTAAAAATATAATCTAAAGAATATATTTTTTCACTTGCTAAGTAAAGTACATGTGAAGAAGTGAGCACCAACTTAATTACCACTAATAAACTTGTTTAGGCCACCATTGTGTACATACTCGAAGCAGAGTGCGGTACGCACACGTCCGGCAGTAATTTGTTGTCCTTGAAACTCTGCAGGTTCTTCCACTATTTCATTGCAGAACGCCACTAGCTCTACAATATTTGGATGCTTGAGCCCCCTAAGATTGTCAAATTCTTTCTGAAATTCCACATCATCCAGTCCTCCAGAAATGTTGCGTAATACCTTCACGGCAATCTCTGCACCATCTGCATACACGCCCTGTCCGGTATCTCTTGTTAACACTCAACACTCTTATTGTTCTAGCACTGTCGGAAATTCGGAATTGAAGAAAGTAGAAATTTGAACGTACACTATGGCTTAGCTTCTATTTATGTATATGTTGCCTAATAATATGGTACTGTACTAACGAATACTACTATAACCCAATAATATGTGTCTTTGTGATGTATCTGTTGATATCAATTCCATGAGTGAAAATTAACAGTTCTAAGTTATTTTTGTTCGGCGGGAAGAGTTCAAATGAGTTAACATCGTGCATTTTGGAATGATGGCTATTCATATGATTAATACTTTTTTTGCGAAAAATATGGTTAGTACATGATGCACCAAATTTGTGATGACACTATCTACTTAGATCTGACGTATGGGGGTCTCCAGTTTCACTAATACCGTAAGTACTAGCACAATTCTATTTGAAAGATATAAAAAACAAAATGGTGAAAAGTTCTTAATTTTTCATCACTACAAACTTCATTGTTTAAGTCTTCCAACTACAATGAATGTCACTCGTCAGCTGTCGCGTATATTATATTTTATTAATAATTTCTAAAGCATGTGTATATAGTTTCTAGAGAATTTGCGTCGGCAAATTAAGTTAAGTCAGGATATTTAAACATCTCAACTGAAATGGACCTTGATAAGTGTCACACGTGTGGCTCGAACATATGAAAACTCCCAACATTTCTTATGGCAAGTTTACTGACGCGAGGATGACAACTTTACTTGAGCATGGCACCTTCCTTTTTGGATGGCAAGTTCCAGTTATTTTTTTTGTGGGTTTGTTTTTTCGGATGGCAACTTTAGTTGTAAAAAACGTCAAAGCCGAATTGCTTCGTGCCACACAGGTGGCACTTATCATTTGGGCCCTCGTTACCAGAACCTGGATTTGGTCCCTCATCCCTCGTCTCGCTCTCGCGGGCGGCAGCGGGGGAACCATAGCCCCCACCCCGCGCCCACCTCCTACACCATCCCCTCCCCTCGCCGCCGCCCGGCATGCGGCGGTGCGACGGAGTCTTGATGCTGATGCGGCGAGGGCGCATCGGACGGCGCGAGCGGCCGGCCAGGCCGTGGCGGCTGCGCGCGGGGTTGGTTTCGGGGTGTCGGCGCGGGCACGGATCCATCGCGGATCTGGTCCTGCGGGTGCGGTCTCGGGCCTCCCCTGCTCGGCCGACGGGTCTCGGTGGTGGGACTTCTCTTGCTGAGATCTGACAGCGGTGACCTGGATCATCTAGATCCCGGCAGGGATGGCGGCGACCCGTGCACGAGAGATGGAGGTCTTCGATGAGATCTGGGTGAAAACTTGCTATTGGCTATTGCCAAGGCCGGCGATGTCGACGCTGTCTGCATCATTCCCTTCCTGAAGGCATCGATGTGGATAAGTTCAAGGCCACTCTCTGCTACCTCCGGGGGAAACCCTAGATCAGTAGATCGAATGACGGTGACTGTCTGGTGTCGTTTCCCCCTTGGGGGCATCATTCTGGGAGGTGCACACGGGCTCGAGGGACCGGAGGATGGCGACTTTGGTGGAGCGTTGCTTAATCTTACACACTGATGGTGTCGGATCTCGGCGGCGTGGTGCTGTGTGAAGACTCGGCGTCTGATGCGCGGAGATGGACTCGCGCAGGAGGAGGAAGTTGTCTGGCGTCATGGTGGTGTTGATGGCAGAGAGGCCTGGCAAGGTCGGTGCTTCAGTTCTGCTCAGAGGATGGACAGAGGGATGATGGATTTGACGGCCCTTGCAGCGTGTGGTGCTCATTGGGGGTGTGCCAAACCGGTGTGGGACCCAATCCAGGTAGTTGTTTGGATGGGACACCCAGCTTTAGATGTTAGGCTTTGGTGCGATGTCTGTTTGGTATTAGGTACGGACATTCGGCACGTCTTCATCAAGGGGATAGGAGTAGCAACGGTGTTGCCAAGATGGTGGCTTCAGACTTATTGATGTATCACCTTGTATAATCTTTGCGAACAATCAATAATATGGCTGCATGCATCGTTCAGATGGAGAGGCCGGGGGTACATCCTCCTTAAAAAAAAATCTCATATGCATACTGCATATGTGTTCTGCGCATCACATATGAGCTTGCGTAATTGTCTACATGCACCGCGAGCCACCTTTTTATCTTAAAGATGAATCATTTATAAGCATCATGACACTTCTACAGTCGATCTAATGTCGCAAGGAAGAAAAATCCTGACCAGTGGACACAGAGTACGGTAGGCATGTATGTATGAGCTGGCTCATGAGATTGATCGCACGGTGTATGTTAGATATCGCTTTTCTGTTGTTGTTAGATTAGATGTTTTTTGTAGGGGTTAACATGGAGCTTCAAGAATAACCTTATTAGTGCTGTACAAAAGACTGCTAGGTTGGCCATGAAAACCCAATTCAGAGAAGAAAACAAGATTTTATTCATACCTTATAAACTATTCCGAATGTACCACGCCCAAGCTCCTCGCTGAAATCCTTTGTAATCAGTTTTATCAACTCGTACGGTAGCTCACTTGGCTCGTTGCCTGAGCGTTGTGCCGTGTTCTCCATGCTACTGCTCAGAGCCCGATTTACACCTCGGGCAACTCTGGCTGCAGCCGGGGGCCTATGCCCAAGAGCCCAGTTTTTAATCCTTGGAAAATAAGAAAAAAGATGATTCATAAAGAAATAAATGTAGAGTGGAGTAATTAAGGCAGGATGAGAAGATCCAGCCCTGGGCGTGAGTGATTTCTGGATTCACCCCTGCTGCTCCTTCTGGTACAATAAAATCCTCTTGCGTAAGAACGAGTATGTATATGATTCCCTTACATACAGTTAATAAGCCTTGAAAACTAAGTTAAAATCGAGCAACTTGTATCATTTTTTTTCTCAATCACTCGGTTTTGCAACAATATTTTGGCGTATGATAACAGTTACCAACATAATAAAAAGAGATATATAAACATAATTTTGTGAAGAAATCACATTCCATAAACCTAGTATGGAACAGAATGGCAAATAATCAATGAATACTTGCGCTAATTAAACACAACTGTGGTGTATTTTACAGAGATATATACAGACTTTATATGGCTGAAAATAGAACATCTGTATCGTAAAGGCACTTTACCTGGAGAAAAGGAGGAGAACAGCCGGAGTGAGACGGGGGGGATGGGAGTGGATGAGCAGCGTTGTTGCGGACCCTTTAACGAGAAGGGGGTGATCAAGAAGGATCGAGTCAATATATGATTTGGGATATATTTTAATTATTAAGTTGCAAGACCGTCATTTATTTCTTCTAGTCAATTATCCCCCCCCCCCTCCTCTCTCAAAAAAAATTATGGCCGGCCGGCCTGATCCCTTGTATTAGTTCAATTAAAGTCAATAGTCTTTTTTCCCTCTTCTTTTATAGGAATAGAATACATCACAAACAAACTTACGCGTCATCCCTAAAAAAGTAGTAACGCGTCATCTTGCGCGTACCGGTTTGATGTGGGGAACGTCATGTGCTGACTAACAGCAAGAGATCGATTAGTATTGAGATGCTAGCTATACTTGCCCTATT